CCCAAGTCCAATACTGATGATGTGCATTCCAAAACTTGCTTGTTTGTTACTATGAGATCTATCTGTGTTATGGAATTCTTTGGTCCAAATATTTCCTCCCTTAATGACAGAGACCAAGTCTCACACCCATACAGAACCACAGGCAAAATTATAGTTTTGTGTATTCTAATTGTTATGTTTTTAGACTGCAGATAAGAAGATTAAAGGTTCTGGGCTGGATGGTAGCAAGCATTACCCAAATTCAATCTCCACTTAATTTCCCCTTGAATCAGGTTTTGTTTTGTTATAGTTGTTCCCAAATATATGAATTGTGCCATATTTTCAAAACATCTGTTAGCTATCTTTATGTCATGATTTTGGCCTGCATTCTGGTGACAAGACAGCAACATATATGAGTACTTAGCTTTCTCTGTGTTTACTTCTAGACCAACCTATTTACTAGCGTCAATTAAGGTTCCTGTATTTTTCTTTATGGTATCTATATTATCACCCAGTAGATTCACATCATCAGCATTGACCAGAAGCTGATGTGTCCCATTTAATTTCAGTCCCATCTGGTTTTCCTGGACCTTCCTAATGGCATATTCTAAAGCAAAGTTGAAAAGCAGTGGCGATAAAGCAGCTCCTTATTTTAAACCATTCTGGATAGGCATATTATCAAATGTTTACCTATATGGACTTTATCATACTTTTTGTTTAAACACATTTTAGTCAGCCTAACTAGTTTCATGGGTTCTATTAGAATACTGTGCAATACCTACCTCCTAACTGAATCACAGGCTTTCTTGACATATGAATAGCTGATGTACTGTCTCATTCTACACCCATTTCTTCTCTAGTATCTGACTAATGTAAAAGATATGATCAGTAGTTGATCTGTTATGTAGAAACCCACAATGATGAGCCCCAATAATTTCATTTAAATATGGACTTAACCTTGAGACAGGAATATTGGATAAAATTTTGTATGAAGTTGATAGCAGTGATATCCCAAGATAATTACTAGTTAGTTTTATCGCCCTTCTTGTGAACTGGTACAATACCAGACTCCTTCCACATCATATCACAGCACAAACAAAAATCCCAATTAAGCAATCAATGATTCTGTGTATTTCAATTTCAATTTATTTATGTTCATCAGATCTACATTTCGCGATAACGCCTCCAGATATAGAACACGTCAAAGCCCAAGTTACAATAAAATTAATCCAGAGAACGTCATAAAGATATTACAACATATTTACAACCACTGTTGCAATAACTATTGATACAATGTTATAATTAAATACAACATGCATATGACACTTGAATTGCAACTTATTATCATAATAAAATACATATTGTGTAAGATTTCAGGCTTTCATGGCGGTGACTATGAAGAAAGCAGTCTTCTGGGATTTGGCACCGTGTATATGTGGTGTTAACCGACGTTTCGGAGGAACGTCGGTTAACACCACATATACACGGTGCCAAATCCCAGAAGACTGCTTTCTTCAAAATACATATTTAATATTGTCAATTATAGAGTAAAAGCATATCTAAAGAATTATAGGTATCCAACAATAAAAGTTTTAAAAATGACTAATGTTGTTTTATTTATCTGTAATTAACACAATCATCCCTTGTTTTCCATTCATAATACTCATCTAAAGAATAAAAAGAGCCCACCTGCAAAAATTTTTAAGGAAATATTTGAATTTATTTAAATCTTGCGATAAATTTTTTATACTATGCGGTAATTTGTTAAATATTCTAATCCCAGTGTAAGATACTCCCTTTTGAGCCCTGGTTGATTTATAAGTTGGATAATGTACTTCAAATCTTTGTCTCATATAAATGTTATGAATATCTGAATTTGCTACATACTTGTCCATGTTTTTAACTATGACGACCAATATTGAAAATATACGTATACCGTGAATAAAATGGAAGAATGTTTAATTTTTTTAAATAGAGGCCGACAAGTGTCACTATTTCCTGCTTTCATTATTACCCTAATTATTCTTTTTTGAATTTTAAATATTTGGGTACTATACGTTGAATTTCCCCAGAATATTATGCCATATGACATTATAGAATGAACATAGCCATTATATATCATCAATAAGCTCTCTAGGGACAATATTGAGACTAGAACTCTTATATCTCAATGATAGATACCAAAGAGTCTGCATTGATGATGATGATCAAACATGTTCTCATACTTTTTCAGATTGGGGTAGGGCTAAGTGTGGTGTACCTCAAGGTTCCATCCTTGGCCCAATCCTTTTTCTTTTTTATATAAACGATTTACCCAAAGTTGTAAATAATATTTCTAAGCCAGTTTTATTTGCCGATGATACTAGTATCATCGTCAGTAATCCCACTATAGTAAACTTTACAAACGATATCACTCTTGTATTCGAACAATTGAACATATGGTTTAACTCTAATTTATTATCATTAAATTATAACAAAACACAATATGTGCAATTTTGAACCACCAATGCATTAACAACTCCTACAGATATTAGCTATAAAAATAAACATATTCCTAACGTTACAAACACTCAGTTTTTAGGTATCACTGTTGACAATTCCTCGTCATGGAAGGACCACATAGATGGACTTAAGGCTAAATTGTGCAAGGCATGCTACGCTATTAGATTCTTAAGACCCTTTGTATCTCAAGAATCTTTGAGAATGATTTACTTCTCGTACTTCCATGCAGTTATGTCATATGGTATAATTTTTGGGGGGAATTCCTCACATAGTAGCAATGTATTTAAACTACAAAAGAGGGTTATAAGAATTATTATGAATTCTGGAGGTAGGGACTCCTGCAGGGACCTGTTCAGAAAACTAGAAATATTGCCGTTCTATTCTCAGTATATTTTTTCATTATTAAAATTTGTAATTGATAATGCTTCTCTATTCAAAACAAACTCTGAGATTTATGATCTTAATACTAGAAATAAAAATAATTTTCACCTTTCACTACCAAGGTTGGCAATCTATAAAAATGGTGTTTATTATATGGGTATTAAAGCATTTAATCATCTACCTCCCTACATAAAGGAATTATCAGAGGATAGGATCCAATTTAAAAATGTCCTAAAAATTATCTTTTATTGAATTCCTTTTATTCATTGAAGGAGTTCTTTGATGGTGAAATTTGGTGTTAAGGATGACATTGACGCTTTCACCCTATGGATGGATCTATGGAATTGGAATTTTACCTGATATATAGAATGAATTAGATGAATATAATTTTATGTTTTGATGAAATATTACTATAAATTTTATATTATATAATGAAATTTTATAACTCTGACTCATGCCTTAGCATACAGCTTGTTTATATTGTATCTGGTTTACTGTTATCAATTGTTGTATTGGATTATTGTCTTATCTCACATAATTTTGTCAATTTTATTAATGAAGTGAACCAGAATTAGAATTTTGATATTTATTGTATCCGATGTAAATTTGTTTATGTATGTCCGCTTTATGCTTTATAATTGTTTGCATGTATGTTTGTTTTGTAAGATTTGAGGCTTATGTTTGTTTTGTTTTTTGTTTTTGACATGTTTCAATTAATTATTGTAACTTAAATTTTGATCTTGTGGCTAATTCTATATTCTATGGCTTGTATTATGAGTGTATCAGGATCAATTAGAAAGTGAAATAAATGAATGAATGAATGAATGAAATAGCATAACAAGCCGAGCTCAATTTGCTGGCTGTTTGTTTGATATGTTCCTTCCATGTTAAAGTACTATCAATTATCAGTCCAAGGAATTTCAAAGTATTCACATTATTGATTTGGATATCACTATGTTTAATATTTAAGTTTATTAGTGCATTTGGTGTTGTTAAAAACTGGACACAACTCGTTTTAGTTAAATTCAAAATTAGTGAGTTTATAGAGAACCATTTATTGATTGATTCAAGAGTTTCTTTTAGGGCAATGTCAAGTTCTTTAAGATCTCACTTGCAGCACAGTATGCTGGTGTCATCAGCAAATAAAATTGGTTTTGATTCTCTATTTATTATATTTGTCAAATCATTAATATATATCAAAAAGAGCAATGGCCCCAGAACGGAGCCCTGAGGGATGCCCTGTTTTACACTTTGCCGCTCCGAAATTCCACTTGTAATATTGCTATTTAGTAGTGTTCTTTGTTGTCTATCCCTCAAATAAGTTTTAATTAACTTTCCTGCTATACCATTAAAAACCACAGAACTCTAGCTCAGCAACAAGTATTGTGTGATTTACACAATCAAATGCTTTGGTCAACTCACAGGAGGTTTCCGTCAGGTCATACCTGTGAGGGATATCTAGTATAATTATATTTACATTACTGAAATCCTTACAGAATTTTACAAACTGTGTTCTATACACATCATTAGCTCCTCCCTGTACTACTATTACATCTTTTTTGGTCAGACTTCTGTAATTCTGATTCATTGATGTAAGAATATCCTGAATTCCCGCACCCAGTTTAATCATACCCATTACCGCAAACTTATCTCCTAAGTAATCACTTGCTTTTCTTGCTGTTCCCTTGCAATGACTATCATCTATTATCATTATTTTATGCTTATTTATCTCGTTTAGTCCTTTTGATGTCCTTAGTTTTTATAATTAAGTTAAGCTTAGATTTTGGTGAAAGCATGTTGTTATCTCTCTTATTAGTTCTTAGTTCCATATTCACAATCACTGGAATTGGTTTTGCTACTGTTGGTATAGTTTGGTATATATATAATGAAACTCTTGCATATTAGGGAAGAAAAACATTTTTATAACGATACCTTCCTATTACTGACAAAATTTTATATACCTTGGAAAGTAAACGTCTCTTAATCATAACCGTGTTAAGGCTGCATTTTCAAAATGAATAACACTAAACCCTGATTCTAACATGTACCTACAAAGGTAGTGAGGTGTCAAAGGGTATAAATGGTTTCAAAATTCGGCAAAAAATGCATGCTACTATGTAACTTACACAAAGGATTACCTGTTTAGTATGTAGTACAATGATGAGTATTGCATGTGGGGCAGCCAACATACAGTATCCTGCTGACGTTATTTACATATTTCTAACCAATGTAGATACTACATAACCACATGCGTTAACTGGCGCTTGAAATTACAAGTCGCAATGGTTTATGCACATTACAGAAGCACTATGGACACCCACTGCATCACATATACCAAACCTCCACTAAACTATCACTACTAACTACGAAACAGTCCGTAAGTTCATAGCACAACATAGCGGATAACACCATTACGAAAACACAGATGATTCATACGCTCTACTAATAATGACGGTGCATTAGTGGCCTAGTGGCTACTGTCGTCACCGTCGTCACCACCGGTCACCACCATCGATTCTAAGGAAGTTCATGGAACCGGCTGTATGTTATCTCTTTACGAGAACGCATGACATATTCTTTATACCCGTCATAGCAATACCAAATGGATATGCAGAGACCTACTCACAAATCGTCACCAGTGTCCAGAACTCATTCGAGCGCAATCTGGTAGAGTAACAGGGAAATTAAGTTTCAGGGTCTTGCTTTGGTTCTTAGGATGCAAGCAGTACAAATCCCATTCCGGCCTCTGCTAGCCTTGTGTATTTGGAATATTCCCTAAATCAAATTACCACTACACCTATATCATGTATTCTCGCATATTACGACTTCGTCGGAGTGGTCAGAGCCGTTGAAAAATGCCTTGTCCATGCAATATCCTTTATTTCCAAAGCTACCAACATGCATCATCAAAAATATATATCTTTGGTAACTATTTTACAATAGGTAAATGTTGAGGAAACAGGTTTGAAATCAGTTATGAAGCTAATGGAATTCGTCGAAATTTAAATTCTGGTTATATATTTTCGTTGAATATTTCGAAACAGTGAAGACGCATTCATGTAAACGCACCATATAGATGCCTCCTAGTGACGCAATCCAAATCGTACTCAAAACACTCGTAACCACATGAAACAGTAAAATGGCTACACTGTGTGAAGATTATGTACATTTGTATGTTACGTGTTTGAAATAACGAGTTTAATCATGGAGAAGAATATCTGTGATAGGATTGGAAAGGTAATCCTGTAAAATATTGTTATGCACACAGTAGTTGATTGCAGATCTTAACGCAATATTCAACTCAGTCACTTTCTCGTACTAAGGACTGCTCCTTTTGCCCTCAGAACTAAGGAAAGCATCCCAAATAGGCAGGCAATACGAATCATTGAAATTGTTGAAGTTATACATTTATTATGTATTTTGCTGTTTTATATTTACTTTAAGCTGGAATATGTGAAGGGACGTATAATGGACATTACGTATTTATATATGTATTATATTTGTGGAAACCCCAAATGTTGCACTTTTATTATTGTAAAATAATATGAAGGTTTCGTATGATTCGTGGTGTATATAATTACCTAACTTTCTTTTAGATGCTGCGATATGATTCAGAATTGGAATTGGAAGAAGATGCAGGGAACCACAATTCTGCAACATCACGGTGCTTTATTTGTGACAGTATGGTCTGTGGTAGGGCCACTCATCTTTTAATGGGTATTGCTCCCTACACCAAAATTGCATTGCCAACAAAAATTGGCCAGTTAATGGGAGACAGATGCATGGTAATTGTTACAGCAGAAGATGTATTATGTCACCGCTGTGCATCTCTAATAATCCATCTTGATAAACTGGAAGTTGATATAGGAGTTGTAAAAAAAACACTAACTGGCTATTTGAAAATGAAATACAATTTGTGTGATGATGAGGACAGTGGATCACACTTGGTGGACTACCCATACATGTATGGATTGGAAGAAGAGGTAAAATGTAAAATAGGACTTAGAGTTATTTGTATGGATCCCATCCCAAGAGTCCTTTTACCTATCCTTCAAAAAGTATTTCGAGTACTAAGAGGTGTCCCTCATGATATTAAATTTAGAAACTTTGGTGAAAAGGACCCAGTGTTAAGAACTATTTCTAAATGCAATTTTAGGAGCAGATGTTACATAAAGCTAAGCCATGAGGTACTATGTTGTATGTTTACTATTGTAACGTGATTTTAGTGTAACACGTGGATTCACAGTGGCTGTTGCATGATCAATTTTTGATATAGTGAGGGTACTAATACCAACTTTGAGTTTGTAGGGTGGTTTAGTTGTCAAAATTGGATTCTTATGTGTGTGCCATTGAATGTTGAGTTTGCATAAAAGGCAGAGAATTTTGGGAGTAACAGAATGACAGACTGTCATTTTATCATGAAGGACTCTGCTCAAGGGAGGTAGTTATCTGTTTTCTTGTATTTATTTATTTATTTATTTCTTCTCTATAGATCATTGTTACATGATGTAGGACAAGTCAGTTACTGTACATTGGCTGATTACAATAAGAGAATAAAGTTACAGTACTTAAAATTGTTTACAGTAGATTACAATAGTTAAGATTTCATATAGTGTGAGGTGGAATCCATATCAGGTTCCCTCGGCACGTCGGCTTCCATATGTCCTATTGTACCTGTACTGGTGATAATGCTTATGGAGAATTTGATGGAATGAGGATTGGCAAGGGAAACTGAANGAAGTACTCGGGGGGGGGGAACCTGCCCCAGCGTCACTTTGTCCATCACAAATCCTGCTTCACTACACCGCAGCAGTGGGAAGCCAGCAACTAACCGCTTAAGCTATGGCGCAGCTTTTGAGATAATATTGGTGAATTTGGTGATAGCACTACTGCAGTGCATTCCAGTCTTCAAATTCCTGAACCAAAATTAATTTAATTCTGTTATGAGATTTGTTACTGTGTTTCTAAAATTGTGTACCACAACACTTTTGATTGCCATATTTCTGCACATTGAACAATAAGGAGTGGTAATAGCAGTAAGATCTTGTTCAGTTTTGTTTGTTGATCGTCCAATGTTGCGCTTTTGTGGCTAAACTGTTGCTTTGCCTTTTGCTTATTTCATTATATTGGTTGCAAATGCTTTTAGAACACCAGTAGCTAGTATAAAAGATTATCAACTCCATCCAGTGCGATTGATAAATGTTTTTTCTCCTTTTTAATTTTTCATCCTTGACATGTTTTGGTTGGAGCAACCATCTTCAGAAGGACGTATCAATACATGCAGAAACTACTATTACAATGTGATTGGTCATTATCAATACAGACATACATACAATACCATTACAATGTGATAAATGTAAAATCATAGCCTTTAACAACTACAGTGATGTGCCTGAATTTATTAAAATATTTGTAAATTATTATAATTAGTTTATTTACAAGTGTGGTTTAAAAACCTTTGTTAAAATTTAGAGCAAACAAACCAACGTTCTTTATTTTATATTCATGACATTGTAATGGTATTGTATGTATGTATTGATAATGACCAATCACATTGTAACAGTAGTTTCTGCATGTACTGATATATCCTTCTGAAGATAGTCACTCCAACTGAAACTTGTCAAGGATGAAAGATTAAAAAGGAGAAAAAACATTTATCAATCACACTGGACAGAGTTGATAATCTTTTACACTGTTACTAGTGCAATGGGTCAGAATGAACCAAATAAAAAAGCAATAGCTATTTTTAATTTTCTGTCATCACAGTTATGTGAGTTGACATAATATATAACAGCTGCATGTTCTGACAGATTTGCTATTGTTGTCAAGCTGCCTAATAGTTACATTCAGTGAAGGTTTCATTGCATAAGCGATTCTGTATTTTGTTAATTGTTAAGAACCACATACATGATTGCACTGAGTTAGTTGATATAGTGATACTGTTCCAGATATGTGTTCAAGAGATGCTCAGTTTGTATCTCAGCAGGAACACTGGCTATTCTGACTGCAGTTTTCATAGTTCCTCTTGATCGATCCGGGCAAATCTTTCAATTGTATCTTGGTTAGATATGGCTGCTTCTTTCCAAATCCTTTCAAATTCATCAGTCTTCCTACCATTTGACGCTATATAGTCTAGATGTTGACAGCATCATGAAATAAACTGCACACAGAAAATAAACAGTGGTTAAAGCATGGGGAAAATGTGATAAATTATAGCTTTATAGACATTTTAACTCATAATTCAAGTATGCTTGGGTCATTCCGTCTGAGATCAACACATTAATTCACATGACTACCTTGCATTTCAGTGACATTTTGTATGCCTACAGAGTCTTATGAAAAATTGATAAATAAGAAATTTTTCCTTCCTGTGACAAATTAATTACAAAGTTATTTCACTTTGAAGCTTTAAGTTTTCCTTTGCTTCTCCCACACTTTGATTCCGAAAAAATGCTTACAACTCTGGTTGTAAATTAAGATAGAGGACTCATTCTTGTGCCAATCGAAAGCTCTTCTTCCTATGTGCTTCACACTGGTTTCTTGATTGGCTTATTCTTTGACCATGAAGATGGAGGCAACATGTACCTCCAAAACAATTGTTAACTTTTAGCAGACAACATGGTGTTATATTCCAGAAAATATAACTCACTGAAAACCCCAATACCTTTCAGAATTATATTCTATAAGACTTATGTAGGTTTCTTTTAGGTTACCTAGTATCAGTCATTTCTGAAGATGAATCTTCTTGCCTTCTGAGTTAACACAACTTAGTCTTTTATCCTTGTCATAATCCTATTGTTTTCATCAGCTATATGAAATTACTTCACCATTTCAGCTGTTGCAAGAGGCAGAACTTTGCATGGGCTCGCCAAAATCCCTTTCTCAGCTACCAATTTCTTGGCAGTCTGAACCATGTAATTTGAGGCCTTGAACTGTTGTTGGATTTTCATAATTGACCAGCTTTTTGGAACAATTGTGAAAATTTGAACCTTTTGACTCTTTCTGCCTGTCATATGAAATGTTCCTTTCAACTGTGCTATCATTTCACCTTCCCTTGAACTGTCACTGGTGTTTGTTAAATTGAATATTTTTTTTCTTTTTATGACTCCGATTTTCATGAATTTTTCACTGGATAGTTTTCTTGTGACAACTATTTAGGGGAGAATGGAGACTCTTCTAAAAATCCAAGATTCAATTTTAGAAATTGTTCAAGTCTTCCTTTACACTTGTGTCAAATTCTGAACTTGAAGAAACAAGTGCTTCATTTCCAAAACTTTTAGGCAAAATTTCAGTAGTTTTCCTATGTTCATCACAGATTCTTTGTTCTTTCTGAATGTTAGGGACCTTTCTTTATCATCCAGTGCAATAAGGATGTCAGGGTTTTCTTGGAACTTGCACTGTGATGGACATTCAGCACTGTTGACACAAGTCAGTAATTGAGTTACAATATTGTTTTAAAACATTAAATTCTTTTACATTTGTAGCACTTGCAGCTACTTGAAACTTGTCAAAAATAAGAATTTATTTTGCCTGTGACTGAACCAGTACAGAATCTGCCAGACAACAAAATTCAACGTATCTCTACTGACATCATTTATGAACTGAAAGACTGGTTGAGTCATGTGCAGCATGTCTGTACATGTCAGTACATAACTCATCAAGCCTAACCAGACCATTAATAGACAAGAAATCATATCCTCTGATCACTTTCATGCTCCAACATTATACTTTCCAAAGTTATATTAAAATAATCACTACATATTTTGGGAAAGAAACCTGAATAAATCTGGCTGCATATTTGTCATAAAGTCATAATGTCAAGATAAAAATGTTAATGTGCCCTAGCATATTTTGAGTAGTATACCAAATGAAACCCCTACTTAAGAACTTTCAAGTCAGCACAAGAATGAACCCTCTGTCTTAAGATCAGAGTTATAAGCATTTTAATTAATCAAAATGAGGGTAAACTTAAGGAAAACTTAAACTTTCAAACTGCTGTATCTCTGCAATTAATGGTCACAGAAAGGTAAAACTTCCAACATATCACTTCATAAGGAGACCCAACAAGCTTGTAAAATTTTATTAGAATTGAAGGTAGCGATTAAAATTTTTGCCCCTAAGTTATGTTGATTTGACATTGAATGATTATTTGTGCTGAATGTAATAACAGGAGGCAACGCAAAAATACAATATCAGTGAAGCACACAGAATGGGGAATGTGACTTCCTCCAAAGTTGGAGAAAAATGAGCTGCCTTGTTTCACAGCATAAAATGATTTGTTGTGTGTGCCACACACAGTTAGGTCTCTGGCTGGTTTGAAATGTGCATGACTATAAATTGTTATAATACTTCACAGACAATGAAGTAATAAAAATTATGTATCCTTGAAGCAATTTTTATGTGAAATATGTAAGGAAGATTATATATTCAAAATCTTGTGGAGCGTGGAGTTCATCTAAGTAATAATAAAAAAATTCAGTAAGGTGAAGGTAAAGTCCTTTTGCTCAATTAATTACCATACAATGATGTATGGGGGATCATTCTTGACATCAGCACAAGGTGAAGATGAGTAGTCAGTTTCATGCTTGTGTCACTTTACTGCAAGAGAAAGTCTCCCATGTCTATTGTATAGGAGGCTGGGTAGTCCCCAGAGCCAATCTTGAAGTTATGGAGAACAGAAAAGTCTTGCCCACCCTCACGAATGAAACCCTAGCCACCCAGTCCATAGCCTGTCACTATACCAAATGAGCTGTCCTGGCTCCATTAAAAATTAATTTCCAACCTTAAATGCACCGTGTTGCTGTTACAGTGGTTACTGCAGTTCAGGGACGTAATCATTGTTAATTCTGAAAAACATATGAAACCCATATTTACACCCTGTGAGCAACATGCAAAATTTCTGAATATTAAAGCAGGTGGTATAGCCTAGTTGGTTTAGCAACTGGGCTGTGGTCTGGACAACTGAGTTCTGATTCCTGGCAGGGGGAAGACTGGCTGTGGGGCCCATCCAGCCAGTGGTAGGGGTGTGAAGCTGACCACTCACCTCCATCTAATGTCAAGGTCAAGAATGGTGGAGCTATACCTTCACTGACACAGCACTTAATTACACACTTAGGTACGGGGATAATTTTACATATTTTTGCCTTACATATAATTAATGTTGTTTTTATAGAGTTGACCATAATGCTACCCTTCAGTGAAGAAACTATTATAAGTTGAAATTTGCTGTTTTTCCAATACTGTTTAACAAAAATTAATTTTCAGGTACCAGATGGCACAGATAATGGTGGACAGATGATTTTCCAGGGATTAAGGGACATCAAGTGTGTAAGTTCAGTAGATGAGAACAGTGACCTTTTCCCAAACATCAAACAAGAGGCAACCGATGAAAAAGAAATTCACTGTTTTGACAGTATAGACATCACAGGGTACAAATGTGTGTCATGTCAGTTTAAAACCACTAGTTCACTTATATTTATGGACCATTTAAAGACTCATTCCAAAGAGATGTATTTCAAGTGTTCTAACTGCAATGAAGTGTTCCACAACCACTGGGACATTCAGGAACACGTAAAGAATGTACATAACTTGCGGTTACAGAGAAATGGAACAAATGATAATGCAAGCAGTAGGACTCCTCTCACATTTTATGAATGCAATATATGTAAATTTCAGAGTCCTGACAAAACAGTTTTTGACATTCATGTTCTGAAACATAACAGGGCAGTACTTTATAAGTGTTCACTCTGCTCTAAACGGCTGAAGTCAAAGTCATTACTGAAAAAGCATATGAGAAGTCACAGATTCTTCAAGTGTGGACTGTGTAATCTAACTTTTAAAGAAAAGACCAGATTACTGGAGCATTTTATGCAGCACAGGGTTTCAAAAGCTCTCCAAGTGAAAGAGGAGCATCTGAATGTGGCAGAGTCCAAGCACAGTACTGAAGAGCAGGTACAGGACAGGTTGCTGACTCATGACCAGGACGAAGTGGAGCAGCTACTGGAACAATTGCACGCAGATGATCCTGTCAGTGAAATTGCAAAGAGAGATGAAAAAAGTTCACAGGATGAAGGCTTGCAAGGTGATGAGCTCAAACAAACTGTAAACACTGAAACTCTTGGGGAAAATGAAGACATTTATGGAGATGTTCAGAAAGATATGGAGGAAGCCTCTTTCCTATTAGAAAATTCAGTTTTGGAAAAAGATGAAGGTGATAACCTATCAGTTGATATTGATAAAAATGAAGACAGTGAAACCAGTGATTTCCTTATTGATCCTTCTAATTGTCTGGAAGACTGTAAGTCAGGCAATGAGAAGCAGGAAGGGAACCAGAATACTGACAAAAATAAGGCTGAAGGCTGTATGCTTCATGGTGAAAACTCAGATATTGTAAAGAATGTAACTGCCACATCATTGAAGAAGAGGGTTTATGTATGCTCTATATGTGGGTTGAGGGCTTACACTGAGAGCCACATGAAGAGACATTTTAAGAGTCACATAGCCATTGAGAAGAAGATGTATGAATGCCATATATGTAACAAGGTCTTAACAACGCGCAGTAACCTAAACAGGCATCTTTTGAATCATGAAAATTGTCCAGGTATGGTCACATGCAAATTGTGCAATGAAGAGCTGACTGATAGGTTACATCTGAAACAGCATCTTGAGGACCAACATACAGGACCCCAGCATTGCTCATTCTGTAATATGGAGTTCACAAGCAAGAGAGCGTTCAAAGAACATGAATTAACGCATCCAGAGAGAGCTATGCATCAATGTGACAAGTGCCATAAAAGGTTCCTGACTCAGCTTCGACTAAGGACACACCTTGAAAATATTCACAATAGTCCTAGGGTTGGAGAGGCAGAGGAAAAAATATACAAATGTCACATTTGCTCGAAGATTTTAACAACATATCATAACTTGAAAAGACATGTGAGGAACCATGAGAAGAGTTCAGGAAGTGTGAAGTGTACTTTATGCTCAAAAGAATTGACAGATAAGTTGCATTTGCGACAGCATGTTGAAGAGATGCACCCCGAAACTCATCAGTGTTCTTTCTGTCAAAAGGTGTTTTCAAACAAAAAGGTCTGCAAAGCTCATGAACTTACTCACCCAGAAAGATATGTGTACAAATGTGATATATGCGAGAAGATGTTTCTCAATGAAATGAGATTAGAGAAACACAAGACTGTGTTCCACAGGGACCCTCATTGTCGATACTGTGAGAAAGAAATCAAGGATCCTACAAAACTGTTTAATCATGAACGGAGACATGAGATGTATAAGAACAAATTTCCTTGTCAGCTGTGTCCAAAAGTTTTTCGCACACCATCAGGTCTCAAATATCACATGTCTGTTCATACTGGGAAGTATGCAGTATATTGTGAGGTATGTGGCAAAGGCATGCACTCAGAGATTGTGCTGGAAGAACACAAAGCTACGCATACTAAGGAAATTCGGTACACATGTGAGCTGTGTGGGCGCAACTTCTCTTCCAATAGCACCTACCGGATGCACCGCAAATGGCATGATGACCCTTTGCCATACAAGTGCAAGATCTGTGATCGCAAGTTCAAGCACACCTCTATATTAGCAGTGCATATGAGACGTGCTCATACAGGAGAACGTCCCTACAAGTGTCCTCATTGCCCATACACTTTCAGTGTGAGCAGCACTCTACATAAACACCTAATCCTGCACACCAAAAAGTACCCGCACAACTGCAACGTCTGTGGGAAGGGATTCACTACTCGCACCAAGATTGCAAGACACATGGCAGGAGTACACAATGACTTTGACATGCTCAACACCAAGCCCATTCCATGCCAGTACAAGATGGTGCTCAAACCAAGTGAGCTTTCAATGGCAGACCCTGAAAACTCTTTGCTTAAGCAGGAGGAAGAACTACCTGAGCCCAAGTTTGAGGGACCTGTAGTTGAGGAACATACTGTAGAGCCTGGGCAGGCAATATTCTTGTTTCATTAATGGTGTGGGAACTTGAAATTTTATATCTTATTGTTGTAAATAAATGAACGTCTAGATTTTACGTAGGTCATACCAAAAGTCATGAGCAACTTTTTTGCAGGCAACCTGAGAACAGCAGACAAAAGAGCTGTTGTGTTAACCTTGAGTGTCTTGTGATGTCAATAGCTTGCATCACATGACCAGTATAACTCCTAACAAAATGGCCGATAACGATATCTTGTTTTGCCAGTGTGCTGTCATCGAATTTCTTGTGAAAGAGGAAATCCCTGCTGCCGAAATTCACCAGAGACTTCAGTGTGCTTATGGAAGTGTGTGCATGGGTGCGAGCAGTGTTCGAAGATAGGTGAAACATTTTAAAGATGGGAACACCGCCATCGAAGATGAGCCTCGGAGCGGTTGTCCTCGAACAGCCTCAACTGAACGCAACAAGGAAAGAGTGGATGAGATCATTCAAGATGACAGGCATGTGATTGTGGACACAATAGCCCAAAAGCTTGGAATAGGGCAGGGCACAGTCTTCTGAGATGCAGAGGGGTTTATTCTGGCCAAATTCCTGGAACCTGGGCAAACCATCAGTGCTGCTCGTTATGTCCAGACGCTGCACAAGCTCCGTCGTGCATTGCGTGATAAATGTCTGGGATGAATCATCATCATCCTGCATGACAACGCTCGCCCCCACACCACTCGCCTCACATTAGAAGCAATTGCAAAGATGGGGTAGGAAGTTCTTCCACACCCCTCCTATAGCCCTGATCTGGCACCCTCAGACTACCATCTTTTCGGATTTGTGAAGGATCAGCTGCGTGGACTTTTGAGACAAGGGAGGCAATTCAGAAAGCAGTGTGTCAGTGTCTTCGGGTGGCTGGAACGGAATTTTACAGAAGGGGAATTTTCAAACTCCCAGAACGCTGGGAGAAACGTGTACAAAGAAGTGGTGATTATGTGGAAAAATAAAGAAAGGTCTGTAGATTGAGGTGGTTAATTTGGTTTGTCAATAATAAAGCATGTTACTTTACAAAAAATTGTTGCTCATGACTTTCAGTACGACCCTCGTATGTTCTGTAAAACCATGCAGCCATTTTATATATATATATTTGATTTGTTTCATTCTGGTCCGTCACACTAACAATATTATAAAAAGATAAAATAGTTCCCTCCAGTGTGACTGGTGAAGTTTTTCTTATTTCAATTCTTCATGCCCTTACATGTTTCGGTCCTTAGAGACCATCATCAGAGGGACATCAATAGTGTTTGGAAACCACTGTTACAATAGGTGTTCTAAGTGTTAAAATATATATACATACAATGCTGACAATACACAAATGGATACAAAAGCCAAAGTTTTCACAACTATAGCGGCTGACTTGATATATTAACATTTTTTAAGCTTTTGTTAGTTAAGTTAGAATTTATAAACCAAATAGTTTTGTGTCCCATCTCTTATCACCTCTCTTGACGGGATCCACACTTGTGCCGCCTGTCTTTCTTGTGAAGAAGGGTCTGCAAATATATTATGGGTATTGTATTATTTCATCAACCCTATTATGTTGTTATTTGTTTAAAGGAGTTTTGTTGTTTCGTCCTACCTTTGATGTTGTCCCGTGGTTGTTCATGGCGCGCTGTGTTATTTTTACTCTTCTAGGGCATGTTGCGCCGCATATTTATTATACTTCTTTTGTCTGTGACATTAGTGTGGGCATGTACTGAAGTTGTATTATGAGGTCGAACATGTTATGTTGGTTATTAGTTGAACATGTTATGTTGGTTATTACCTTCCTTCGTGTGTTTTTGTTCTGCTGTCAATTTGTTGCCCCACCAGTGGTATCTCCCCCTTATCATGATGGTGGGGTTTGAGAGCTATGCTGGTGTTAGCATAGCTACTGGTAGGGCCACGCATGCCAGACAGGTCAAGGTGTAGGAGCCAGACAGAGGGATACCCTGGTCCTCCAGGTTGGGGGTTGGGCGAGAGGCTAACGACCTCACACCGTAAAAACTAAATTGTTCAGAAATCCGAGGAAAGAGTAGCCAGACGGACCTATTCAAGATGACCTGGAAAATGTTTAAATGATTTGAGAATTGGATCTTGGAATGTATTATCTCTTTACAGAGCCGGGGCACTAAAAATGCTACTTGAACAACTACATAGCTAGAAACTAGATATCACTGCTATACAAGAACTGAGGTGGTTGGGTAAAAGAGTCATGGAAAAGAGGGATCATGTTGTATTCTATAGTTGTCAGAAGAAGAGTCACATGTTTGGAACAGGTTTTATTGTTAATAAAAAAAAGGAAGCATCTTATTTTAGACTTCCAGAACTTGTAGGCTAGGAATTAAGGGAAATTTTTTTAAATACAGCCTTATTTGTGCACATGCCCCAACTGAAGATAAAAGTGATGAGGAGAAAGACTCCTTTTATGATGAACTGGATGAAATGTATGACAAATGTCCAAAAGGGGATTGTAAAATAATCATAGGGGACATGAATGCTAAAGTGGGGAATGAGGATGTATATAGATCGGTTATTTGAAAACATAGCCTACATAACAAGTCAAATGATAATGGGATGAGATTAATAAATTTTGCTTCCTCAAGAAACATGGTAGTAGATAGTACAATGTTTAATCACAAGGATATACATAAACGAACCTGGAAATCCCCTGATGGAAATGTGTTTAATCATGTGTTAATGTGTGTATGATGTCTTCCTTTCTATAGCCATTATTTAGTGCTATATTAATAACAGTATTTAACTCTTTGTTTTTAGCATTTTCCTCAAGGAGTAGTGTGAGAAGTCTGTGTATCCAATTTTTGTATGCTGCTAATTTTTGTTCTTTAGGGTGGCATGAGTTATTATTTACTGTTATGTCTGTCGTTGTGGGTTTTCTGTATATTTCCATTTCTATTTGTCCGTGTTTGTTAAATAGGTTAAAGTCTAAGTAGGCTGTTTGTTTACATCTTCATTTATTGTGACGTCATACAACTACTTTACAAACTTAAACAAAAGAAAAGTAATCCGGATAATAAAGCTGAAAAAAAAAAACAAAAAATGGGTCACATTTACCTATACGGGAAATTACATATGAAAAATCACAAAACTATTCAAAAACATCAACATAAAGATAGCTTTCAAAACAACTCATACCATAGGTAAACTAATAAATGAGAAATGAGAAACAAACCCCTATGAACAAAGTGGGATATACAAAATAATCTTCCAAAGCTGCCATAAAGTATACATCAGCCAAACTGGTAGAAATCTAACAAGGTACAAGGAACACATAAGAAACATAAGACTAAACAAAGATGAATTGGCATTTGCTCAACATATACTAAACAAACGCCAGCAGTATGGACTAATGACCATAATCATGGAAATGATTGAGAAAGCAAAAAAAAAAGGAAGCCTCATGAATATAAAAGAAAACTTCCATATATATCGCTTTAATAAGCTCAAGAAATTGATAGAAGAACAAGAACACACAAAGGAAAGTAATAACCAACATAACATGTTTGACCTCATAATACATCAGTACATGCCCACACTAATGTCACAGACACAAGAAGTATAAATACACGGTGCAACACGCCCTAGAACAATAAAAACAACACAGCGCACCACGATCAACCACAGGATGACATCAAAGGTAGGACAAAACAACAAAACTCCTTTAAAAAAAATAATAACATAATAGGGTTGCTGAAATAATACAATACCCATACAATAGTTGCAGAACCTTCTTCTCAAGAAAGACAGGCGGCACAATTTCGTCCCCTGTCAGGAGAGGTGATAAGAGAGAGGACACGAACCTATTTGGTTTATAAATTCTAACTTAACTGACAAAAGTTTAAAAATTTTTAATATATCAAGACAGCTGCTGTAGCTGTGAAAACTTTGGATTTTGTATCCATTTGTGTATTGTCAGCATTATATGTATATATATTGTCACATGTTGGGTATGTTCCGCTACAAATAACTTCTCATGGGTCTCGGATATAGCGAATCTTTATTGGACACTCACTCTTACGCACCTTACAATTATTATCACTTGCAGTATCGCCTGACTTCTGGCCCAGTACTTCAATGCAACGTCTCAACTATCCTTGGCCGTGAGTGGATCCTGACTGTCTCTGGCGGGGGCTATCGCAAGACTGTCTCTAGCTCTGCTTATATAGGCATTATGCAGACCGGATACCAGACACCATTCCTCACGGTTCTGTTTCTATTATTTCAACGGTCTGCTGTTACATAATGGGCACAACAAACTCTCTGTAGTTCATCTCCGGGGAGACGCGTTCATTGCTTCGGCTCACTGTTATTGCACTACCATGGAAGTACCTACTCCAAACACATTACAGTATTTTAACACTCAGAACACCTATTGTAATAGTGGTTTCCAAACTGTATCGATGTCCCTCTGATGATGGTCTCTAAGGACTGAAACATGTAAGGGCATGAAGAACTGAAATTAGTAAAACTTCACCAGTCACACTGGATGGAACTATTTTATCTTTTTAGTATATATATATATATAATAGGTATGTGTGTGTGTGTGTGTCTCTAAACCTATATATATTTCTCCTCCAAATATTATTTTCTCACCTAATACATTCTTATCAGTTGTGCTCATATAACACACGTCCTGTAGACAACCCCCAGTTTTTCACAGATCTCTGCATCATCTCCAAATACAGGATATGAGAAAGGAACCTGACTATTTTCAAAAGTATATAAAACAGTGAAATTTTATTTTAATTTTTAATTGATTGTTACAAAATGAATGAACATTGATTGCCATTTTATTCCACGTTCATTTCATTATGTCTTTCGTTTTGAACTACACATCACTAAGATGTTGCCCATCATTGCATACACTCTTCCAACTTTGCTTGCCATATTTTCTGGTATCGCTGAAATTTGCTTCTGAATTGTGATATTGAGGTCATCAGTGGTCTGTGGTCTAGTGGTGTACATTTTCACTTTGAGGTACCCCCAAAGGAATTAATCACAGGCAGAGAGATCGGGCGAATGTGCAGGCCATAGAAGCTTGCCACACAGTGAAATATCTTGCTATCGAAACATTTCCTGAGTGATCTCCATGGATGCTCTTGCTGTATGAGCAGTTGCATCATCTTGCTGGAACAATGTGGTCGAGAGCTCAGTTTCTTGATGATTCAGTCCTAGTGTGAGGAAGTTCCATAACATTTCAACATAACTAACGGATGTGTCTGCAACTGCATGCCCATCTTTGCCTCCAAAGAAATAAGGGCCTGTGACTCCAAAGTTACTCCACACCCAACAGGCA